CAGCTCAGCTTTCAAATTTGTTGTGACATCACTGACCTGATATTAGTTGAAGGAAGAAAACAATTGACCCAGATGCAATTCAGGTCTTTGAAAACAAGCTGTTTTATGTAATCTATGCCAAGCAAGGAGGTAAGAGACTTGGAGATGCATGTGATATAATGATGCGTACACTGATGTAAATAAAGATTTATTTAAAGAGTTATCTCAGATCTGAGTGTGAGTTGCCCACCAAAGAGCTTCTTGGGAATCCTGAGGCCCACATCACCACCCCCACTCACTTTCTTCTCCTCCCCCACTTTTTCAGAAGCCTGAGGATGCCTGCTGCATCTTGCACTGTAGTGCAAACAGATCCCCGCAAAGAGAGAGGAAGATAAAATGAATTTAAATTCCAAAGGGGTTCCAGTGCCGGTTTCCTAGTCCCCGAGTCAGCAATGTGTTTGTGAAAATTCAGTCTTTTTGTCTCCCAGTAAAAAGGAGCTAAATCTACATCGGTGGCCCAGTCTCGGGTTGCTATTCTTTGCATTTTCTATTCGAGTGAATGAGAGTGAATGAAGTGGCCGGGACCCTTCATTTGATCTACTCAATTGCATAAAGTGACAGAATTCTAATATATTTGTTTAATGCTCTTCAATGGGCTTTCACTTTTTTGCTTGCAAATGAAGCGTCCGTGGGCAACGTTTCATCCCCCTTTAACACTGGGACATATTTCATAACTCAGGCTGTGGTTTGAAGTGATCTTGAGAGGAGTTTTAGCCTCAAAAAGTGGAAAATAAAGAAACAGATGTGAAGTTATTGTAAATTCCTAGAGTGGGCTCTGGGGCTATTGTGCCCCCACGGCGGGCGGTCCAGGGGCTGTGCCTTTCATGCTGTAATTGAAACATATTAATTAGATAATTTGTTGTTAGTTTAAACGAAACAAATGCATCCCCTTTGAGGCTTCACAGCCGGTGGGTTGGGTTGTTTTTGTTTTGTTTTTGTTTGGGTGTCTCTGTGTATATGTGGCTTCAGGGGAAAAAAATTAATTGACATTTATATTAAGAATTTGAGAGGAGATCCTGATTCTTTTAATTTCTTAAATGGATACCTTTTAAAAGGGGAGTTTTCATTGGTAAATGTATAAACCATGCCTCCACCCCAACCTCGCATACACTAATGCAAAACCCTCTCTTTGCGACACTCCATTGGCTTCTTTTTCCCACCCGCTCCTCAACACTTCACCCCACTCAAGGGAGCACCTGGCCAGATTTATGCTTCCAAGACAATCGTCTCATCTATTAAAGGAATTAAACATACTGCTATAATATTTAAGCCATTCTAATGATCATTTACCAGCACTGCTCCTGCTAGTCTTCAGGCTTCTCAAAATCCCCAACTCAGGCAACAGGAGCAGTGAGAATTTCTGCAGCTTCTCTCTTGAGAAAGTGAACAAAATTCATCCATTGTGTAAGCATTTCCCCCAATCACAGAAAAGGCCATTTTAAAAACACAGTTGAGTACAGAATCATGTTAAAAACCAAAAGTAACAGGACAGCCAAGTTTCCAAATCAAAAACCTAAATTTTAAAAAGGCCCAAATTTGCAAAATAGAAAATACAAGTTGTAACTCGATCTTCTGGATAAGATCCCTAAACGTACACCTCACTGCATGGTGTTGTCTCTTCCAGTTTTATTTTAAAGCTGTGTGTATTGACTTTGGACTTGAGCCAGGTGAAAAGATTTAACATGACAAAGAGAGTCATTGAAGGTATTATAGTTATAAACTTCCTTGTTTGTGGGGGCACTTCACCTAAACAGGGCGTAAGTCTCAAAGCTGAGGATGGAGCACGGTGGAGACGTGTTCTTTGGACTGCCTTTGAATTTCTGATCAAGGTGAAAATATTATCAGTGGATTTTTTACTTTACTCATTCAACTTTGTCTGAGAAAAGATGTCTGCAGTTGTGAAAGGAGGGCTCACAATGCCCAAGTTTTTCATTCTTTGCAATACACCATGACGAGCTTACTAGCTGAAAAGACCATTTTCAGATAGTGAGTTGAAATCACTCCATTGCTAAAAATCAGAAATAGCATCTGCATCTTACCCCCATTTATTACATGTATGTATTGTGCATTTATACATATATATTCTACTGCCTATTATAGGACAAATATTTTACCTGATTATCTAAGCTGATAATTTATAAAATGTTTAAGGCCCACATTAGCCCTTCATTCCCAGTTTGAAATCAGTGTTAGTAAATTCAATGAAATTAGAATATTCCAGAAATGACCTTAATTTTATTTTTCAGGAAATGATGACAATGTATTTAATTTTTTTATATGTAGATGATTTCTTGTTGAGAACAAAGTTTCAAGAGTTTCCTAGCCTGGGGTGGGTAAGTTTTCCAGGCTTTCTTTTGCTGATCTTGTTGATATAATTGTGAATTGGGCTTGATGAATGAGTTTAGTTGTCCCCTGTCTGACGAGCTTTAGTAGCTTCATGCATTTTAATCAGTCCAATGATTCATTTATTTTCCACCTTTTTTTTTTTTTTGGCTGTGTGTGGGATCCTTCCTTTTTAAAAATGGTCACAACAGGATTAATTACCCTTTGCATTAATCCTAATTTTTTTTTCAGATAACCCTCTAAATATGTAAGGGTCGCAGGTGCTAAGGATTCTCCTTATGGAGTATAGTGATCATGATTTTTGTGTGGGTTTCTCTGTACTGCACAAAGGTCTTTGTTTAATCACATTACACAGTAAAGTGTTAATCACCATTTAAGTTTTTCTTTGTCTTGTAACTTCATTAGTTGAATACACACCTCGCTCTGGAAATATTGTGACCCCCTTCAGTAAAGTTTCAGTTGGCCTTGAGCCATAAATTCTGGGCAAATTGTAATTCTCGGCAAAACTCTGAAGAAAAGCAAATACTTTCAGTTAAGCATTTAAATTAACTTCATTCACTTCCTTAAAATAAATGCATTGAGCATTATTTTCCCATATGAATGAGTGAAAAGAAATCTGTTCTAATCAAAGTGAACAGGTTTCTTGATCATGCAAGGTGAACTTCTAGGTAACTTCTGAAAAAGAAAATTTCTACAACTGAAATAATTTAAGGAGCACAGAAATGAATACTCTAATGCATCAGAGTACGAGCACTGAGTAAACAGGTCTGCTTTACATGCTGTATCTCCATGTAGCCTCTACCTGATTTCTACTTAAGCCTTATATTCAGTATACTTTGTAAAATGTAAATTTTAAGATAGATAAATGTATGAAGTATTGCATTTTTTAACGAGTTTTTCAGCACTACGCCTTTGTACCTGATCTATTCTAGAAATACTTCCCTCTTTCCCTCGGCTTCAGGAATCCATTTGAATCATTTCTCCCCAACCTGCAAGTGGGGGAGATTGACTATTTTAAAAAATAAGATATGAAAGAGACAAACTATTCAGACAATGTATTATCAAAAGCATGCTTAGAGAAGCACTACATCTATCTTTTGTAAAGTTATTTTGCAGCAACTCTTCAAAAACACACAAAACTAAAATTTGGATTTACATATTTTAATGAGAAAATATTATTTGGACTAGATTCATAATTTAATGTAGACACCTTTTTAAAATTCTTTGTCTTAAAACAGGCATGCTGGGAACAAGAACATCAATATTTAAAATGCCATGCTAATTCTGAACAGGGAAGGAGAAAAATGAAAGGCAAAAATTTTACAGCCCTGATGACACTACAACTTTTTTTTTTTAACTTAAGCAGGTCACACCAGAACAACAGTTCGTTTCCAGCAAATTACCTAAGATTCTAAAGGAATATAGCAAACAAAAGTGCATTTTACACAGTGTATAATCATTCCTATTCACAAGCATTTACATCTCTTTGCAGCCCTTTAGCTTCTTGGGAAAGTTCTTGTAGCAAACAGAAAGACTTGTCCATGGGAGACCTATCCGGTGACATCTCCTTCATGTTACCAGTCAGCTATCTAAGTTCTTCTAGGGTTGCCCTTGATGCTTTCTTACTTTGGGCTTATTTCATTTTCTTCTTTTTTTTTCCTTCCAACAATAAAATAAATAGCTAAAAGGTCTCTAAGTAATCGGAAAGTTAACATCCCAATTAACTTTCCATCCCCCATTCCCTCCCCTAAACCTGGTCAGAAATGAAGAGTAAACATTCACATTACAACAGGTACTTGTAAAGTGGGCTTTGCCCGCTCGCCCGCTAAGCAATACAGATTCAAGTTCACTGTTTACATTTTACCGGGCGCCTTTGTAAACAATACTACAAGGTTACTTTTAGTTTTGTTTTGCTCGTGTTGAGGACTAGCGTCCCCTTCTCAGTTTGGCAGCCTCTCCCCTAACTCCCAGTGCCTGGAGCCTCTGGCAGGAAACAAAAAACAAAACAAAACAACTCCGCAGAAGCTGGGAGGCTGGGCCGCTACTCCGGGAAGCTGTGGTCCGCCCAGCCCTGGCCCGATGGGCGGAGGCGAGTGGGGTAGGAAGATTAGTGGTCCCTTTGCCCGGCAGATTTCCAAGACGTAAACGAGATCCGGCCCTCCGCTGTGCGGCTGCAGCCCTAAGGGGAGATCTGTTCCAGGAAACCTCTGAGGCGGTTTCTCTTGTCTTGGAACTAACTGCGCGGAGTCCAGAGCCCCGCCGGTCCAGGCCGAGGGAAGACGTGCTCCTCTTGGCAAAGGCGGGAGGCAGGATCTCCCCTGCCTCCTAAATGGGAGAGGGTTTGGGCGGGGGGCGGGGGGAGCCGGGAATCGGAGGGCTTGGCTCAGGTGCCCCCTGCCTTCCCCTCTTGTGGAGGCGAGGACAGCTCCCATGCGCCTCCAGGCCATCTGCAAGTTCCTGGGTCCAAAACAAAGTTCTCCTGGTGGGGAGAGGGTTGGCCGAAGGTGAAATGGACAAGTTAGGGTGGCGGTCCTAGGCGGAGGAGGGCAGGGCTGGGAGGCTGGGAAGGCGAATAAGCTGGCGGGAGGGGGACAAGAGGGGGCTCCGGCTGTTGCGGGTCAGTGCACCGCCACCGAATGCAAGGCAGAGGCCGGGCTGGTGAGCGTTTCACTGGGAGTGGCGGGGCTGCTTTGGCTGGTGGCTGTTTGCGAGGACGTGGGGCTGAGCGAGGGCGGCGAGTTCGAGAGCAAAGTGGGGATGGGCGCGGGCAACGCGGGCAGCGCGGGCACTGCGGCCGGTGTAGGCTTGATTGGCACCGGGATTGCGGGCAGCGTCTGGCCTGCTGCATGGCACAGCGGCTTCAGTGGCACGCCGTAGGCGCTGTAATCGCCACTAGCCATGGAGATGGGGGTGGCTGAATCGATCATGCCTGCGGAACCGTACACGTGTGGCCAGCCAGTGCCCAGCGAGCTGCTCATGGTAGTCAATTGGTTGGGGAGCGGGTAGGCGGCGGGCACCGGCTGCATGGCGGAGAAGGCCAGACCCCCAGGCATCTTGTACTCGCGAGCGATTATATTCTCGATGGCGAAGGGGTGCTTGAAGCCCGAGGGCTGTGCCACGCCGCCCAGGTTGTAGGCGGCGGCGGGCATCTGTGGCAGGTGCGTGCCGGAGGCCGCAAGCGCGCTGAGGCGCAGCTTGGCCTGCTGCTGCAGATACTGCGCGGCGTCGGCGGGCTTGCTGGGAGCCAGGTGGTCGGACTTGAGCACCTTGAAGCGCTTGCGGCGCCTCAGGAAGCTGCCGTTCTCGAACATGTCCCCGCAGCTGGGGTGCAGTGCCCAGAAGCTGCCCTTGCCCGGCTGGTCTGGCCGCCGCGGGATCTTGATGAAGCAGTCGTTGAAGGAGAGGTTGTGGCGCAGGCTGTTCTGCCAGCGCTGCGTGTTCTCCCGGTAGTAGGGGAAGCGGTCCATGATGAACTTGTAGATCTCGCTCAACGGCAGCATCTTCTCTGGAGAACTCTGGATGGCCATGGCGGTCAGCGAGATGTAGGAGTAGGGCGGCTTTTGGTCGCTGTACGTGTTGCGGCCGGGCCGAGGCATCTTCTTGTTTGCCCCCTTCTTGCTCCGGGTCCGCGCGGGCCGGCGGCTGCTTGGATCTGGACAGGGGAGAAGATAATGGGGGGGGCGGGGAGCATGGATGCACAGACAGACACCGCGAGGTCAGCCAGCCAGGCCGAGTACAGACCAGACGTGGTGGGTAGGTGCTGCGGCGCCGGATCAGCCCGAGCCCGCACTCTTCGCCTGGCAACTTTGAGCGCAGAGTGGGGTGAGGCCAGGGGGCGCGGGAGGGGAAGCCGATGAGCTGCGCGAGGGAAGCATAGAAGTAAGCTGGACCTGGAGCGGGGACTGGGGCAGGGATGCAACCAAAGGGCTCACCTTAAAGTTGCTCCAAGTTGTGCGTCCGCATCCGGGATGGCACTGCAGCTCTCGGGTCCCTCCCAGTGCGCTGCTGGGACGCAGTGTCGGGTCTCGGCTGGGCTCCGCACGTCTCCGAGCTTCGCAGCTCAGCCCTGCGGCGCCGGGAGCCGACCAGTCCGCTGAGCTTCTGGCCGTGAGATCCCCGGGCGGCCAAGCTCGGCTGCAGAGTCCCGGTGCAGACGGCAGCAGGGCGGCCTCGGGGCTCGGGAGGGCGCTGATGTGGACTCCGCGGCTCCGCTGAGCTAGGTGGCTGCCTCCATATCCTCCCTCGAACCATCTGATAGTTTTAAGCGGTGACAGGAGCAGAAAAGACCCCTGTAGCGGCGCTTCATTAATGTGCCACTTCTTAGCTATCATATGACAATCGTCTTGGGAGGAGGAGGAAGAGGAGGGGGAGCGGGGGCTGCAGAGGGAGGGGACTGAGCGAGAAGGGAGAGCCTGGCCAGCTCTGGTTTCTTTCACACCTATTTACATGGACACCTTGGCCAATAGGAATCACTTCCATCTCAAGACTGGGCGAGGGGGAAGAGCCTCGGTCGCCGGTGGTGAGCGGGACGCCGGCCAGGGTGCGCGGTGTGAAGGTATGAGGAGGTGGCGGCCGCGGAGCAGGGATTCAGGCGACCACTCACATTCACAGACCGAGCTGCCGCGCAGATGATGTTTGACATGGAAATTGCTTGGCTGGGGTATTCTGTTTCCTCTGCATTGTACCGGGTTTGTATTGTTAGCTAACTTAAGGCACGGCTTTCCCCTGAAGCAGACCCTTCTCCTGCGCTTGGCAATATGGGGCTGGTTGCATGGGATATTAAAATGAAAATACACCCTTCCCCTTAGTTCTCCAAGTTTGATTTGACCTTCCTTGGCTACTGCCATAGCTCTACACACAGTGAGTGTGTAGCTTAAGTGATGGGGTTTTAAAAATACTTACAAAAATATAATCGACAGCCCCTTGTAAAAACCCATTTTGTAAGTGTATTGACCAAGTTAAAAAAAAAAAAAAGTCTCTCTGGGCGAATAGGCAGGGTCTTCACTGTAAAAGTCCTTTAGGAATTTAATTAGGCACTGGAGGAAGGCTCTGGGGCTGCTGGGGCAGGCAGTATGTGGACCTGGGGCAGGGCCTGAGTTTGTTTGACACACTTTATCACCAGATGAATGGCAGGGTCTCATGCTTTCCCCAGGTGGCTGGAAACTTCAGGAGTTAGGCATTGCATGGAGGTTTGCATTTTACAGCCGGAACTTCGTCCCCTTCTCCATCCCTCCCCCTTCTCCATCTCCCCCCACCCCACCCCTGCAGTTGACAGAACATATTTAGAGCTTAGAGAGCCCAGCAAACACTGCCTGCGGACCCACTAGAACAGCAGTACCTTCTAGACTCGACAGTTTTCCTTTCTGGGAGAAAGGACAGAGCGGGGATGTGCCTAGGGCCCTCCTGCTTGGTGCCAGCTGTAGGCTCCCTTTGGTTCAGATCAGTCTCCAGAGATTCAATGAATTATTATTATCATCATTATTATTATTATCATCATCATCATCGTGGGTGGCGGTGGCGGCATCATCATATTGCTTTGAAATAGTGAGTGGACCCTGCCTGCATGCACTTAGTCAAGGAGTAGACCCTAGGAGTTCCCACTGGTTTCTGCACATTCTCCAATCTTTATGGGTTTTTAAAAGAAATTCCTTTTACCTCGTTGTTAGCCTCTTTTCCCACTCAATACCTACTGCCCACCCTGAATCATCTTCAATCTGGAAATATGAGAGGTATTTTTTGTTTTTTGGTTTTTGGGTTTTTTTTGCCCCAGGAGGAGGAGGTGATGGTAGTGGTGGTGGTGAGAGAGTTCTGGGTGTGAAGTTTGGAGACTTTTAGTGATATTAGAGAATTATTAGTGGAGCCGTTTGGAGTTAGCATAAAAATCTTTTGGCGCACGTGCGCGCGCGTGCACACACACACACACACACACACACACACACCCCTCCATTAACCACAGTTTCGGAGGTGGTCAATAACTCACCAAAACGTAACTTAAACACGATGAATTTAGGAGATTAAACAATTTCATTAATATTGAAATGGCTTTCGCGTCTGGGCTGCCTTGCTTGAGATGCAAGCACACGTTTTTCAATATTAACAGAAGTGCTTGAAGAAAAGAATAATGTCACCTTCTTAATTCGGAAAAAATAACCAGGAGGAGGAAGTGGGTTCGAGGGGTGGAGGCGGGATGCTGACCTGTCTCTGGGGGCACGGCTTGAGAAAGGCAGATAAACCCTCCGCAGATAAACGGGTTGGATTCGGGTGGAACCTCCGCGGAGCTTTGGCTAAAGGCAACACCGTCCTTGCCTGAGCGGTGCGCGCTTTAGCTCCTAACGAGGGGTGGCGTTTGGGGCTCTTACTTGGCGCGGCCCAGTTCGGCTTGAGGGTCCAGGGATGGGAGGAGCTGGGGAGACCTGGAGCCTAAGGGACCCCGATGAAGAATAGTAGTGAGGGCTTGTGTTTTCCAGACGGAAAGGCGTTGGTCCACAGCTTTCGGCTTCAGAAGTCAGCTGGCCTCGGAGGTCCAGAACTAAGGGAGCTCCTGTGGCGGAGGCAGGAGTGCTCCTGGGAAGGAAAGGTACCGCCATCGAAGCCCCCAAGGGTCTTTTAGAATCATTTTAGCAAAAGTGTGCATACTGATCTATAGAAACGTAGATTAAAATACTGAGAGTGGTTGGATTGGGGATATGTAAGGAAAGGAGTGAAAGATCTCCGTTCCCCCAGTGAGGGCCAGGAGGATTCTTTTCTGCAGGGTGTGTGCGCAAGCTTGCTGAGGGTGGGGGATGGGGAGGGAGAGAAATGTTTTCTTGTTTTAACAATTGCCATTTTGTTGCCTTGCAAAGTGCCTTTGTATGGCTGTCGAAATCATTGCGTGGACTAAACAGAAGATTAACTAAATTCTAAGAAGTGGAAGCGTTTGGGTTAAAAAAAAAAATAAGTTGAAATAAATCTTTGTCCATCTCCCCAGGGAAAGTTGTCACCAAGTCTGAGACGCGTGAGGATATAAGTAGGTATTCGTGTTCGAGGAATCTTCAAAGTTTGGCTAGGGTGAGGATGGGAGGTGAGGCATATTGCCCACGCCCAGGATTAATTAAGGAAATCAAACCCAATAGCACAAGTTTGCCTTGGGTGGGGTGAGGAGCTGTGAGAAGCACATTTAAAACAGATACTTTACCACAGAATTCTATTTCAGATCCTACCGAAGAGCCTGAGGGAAGGGGGAGGGGATTTGCATGCCATTTACAGCGTTTTAAGACCGGTATAATGAAGAAGAGGAGGGAAGGAGCACTTTCCAGAAATCTTGAAAAGTGCATCAGAGTCTATTGTACAGAACCCAAAGCAAACAGAGGCTCTGGGGAGGGGGCACATCCGACTTCGAGGCTTAGGGAGTTGTTGGGAAAACTGTATAAAATACACATAAGTCAATTATACCCATGTGCAAACCAAATGGAAATCTCTTTCATGCCATAGCCATTCATCGCCTCCGCAGAGCCCACCACCGACCACCTTTCTGCTTGGAGAGTTCGCAATAGCCTCTTTTCCCACAAGCTGGACCACACACGGCTACAGATTTCGTAATAATTTATGCTAATTTCCCTCCATAAATCCACAATTCGCTTCAGTGGCACCCGGGCTGCTGAGGGAGTAAAAAGGAGACAGAGGGGTGACAAATACAATATTGATTTTGATTCCTTCTGTTGTCAAGCAGGTGTATGTGTGCGTGAACGGTGGGGCTGGGGTTAGGGGGCGGGGGCTCTAGGGGACGAAAACCGTCCGGGGCCCGGCCAGCCCCTTCGTCCACACTCCAGAAAGTAACGCGCCCTGGTTTGTTAATATTTACCAAACACCGAGGGAGGTGGAGGGAAAGTACCCGGCAGCTTCCGAAGGTTTCCTAGGCGCCAAAAACAATACCCGCCTTCCCGACTTGGAAAGCGAACTCGGGGCAGCCTGGAGCGTTTGGGGGCTGTGTCTTAGTTTGCCCCTTCTCTTCTTTCTCTCTCCCTCAGAGTCCTTCCCTCCTTCTCCTTGAGTTCCCCACCCCACCCTCTCTCTCCTCCTTCCTTACTTTACCCTTGTCCCTCACTTCTCTTCGCTTTTTTTTTTTTTCCCTCTTTTCCCTCTACCTTTTCCATCTTCTCTACCAAATGGCAGTGAAATGTGCAGGTGGGGGAAGGTCTTCGGGCGTGCGCAGCATCGAGTTTAGATTTTAGGGCCTCCTCTGGCCGGCCCCACCTTTCCAGGCCGCCTCCGCATTTGCCCAAGTTGTCGGCGCGCTCTGGGAAACCGCGCTAACTCACCGCGCCGCTTTGTCCCATCAGTCATTCTTCACCAAATCTGCACTTTGGTGGCGTGAAACGACTTAGCTTTCCTTTCAAAAGGATTTTGTTCCCGGGGTATTCAGCACTAAAACAAACTCCCTCAGCCTGTCAGCAGTCAATTTTTAAAAATTGTCGTTCTAAGTGTCCTGGAGGCTGTTGGTCCTCAGAATCTGAGCGCTTCCGCCGCCAGCACCCTCGCCTGGCATAGCCTAGCTCTAGTGTTCTAGATCTGGGGACAAGAGGGAACCCACTCAGTGAGTTGACTTGCTGGGGCCACC